CTGGGGGGAGGCGAGAGGAGAAAGGAGGTTAGTCAGCATCACTGAGCTGCTGAACTGAAGAGTTTACAGCTTAAAAGCTCACAGATTTACAATAAAATTATTTTAAAAAGGAAACTAAAGATCTTATTTGTACATTTAGTCTTTAGACTCTGAAGTTCGTCTGGTTCTAACAGCCTTATGCTGATGATTGGTGAGGAAATGAAACAGCATCATATCTGAGCTTCAGTGGATGTAAATAATCCTCTGATCTGTTTTATGCTCAATGAACACCAGGTGGCACTACAGACCAGCCTGGAGGGGAAAGCCAGTGATGTAAAGTTGCCGGTGAAGCTTCTCAGTCATCCAGGTCATAGTCATTCCAAAAACCACTGGACTTTGTTTCCAAATCCCTCCTGGATGGAAAGCGGAACGACTTCAAACTTTGAAACAAAGTCCAGTGGATTGTTTTTAATTTAATTGTTTTTATGTGAAGTTATTTTTCTAGTATTGAAGGGATTGAAATATTTGTAGCATCACTACAGACCAACAGCACTGAGGCTGATCATCCATCAAGCTGCTTCACGTCTGCATCCTCAGCAGCTGATGATGCAAACGATTCAAAAACAAGATTAAAGACCTGAACTATGAGAATGGACCTGAAACACTTTCCTTTCACTCTGCGCAGGAAGGCTAACAAAGCAGACTCCCCCTCACTATTTACTTCTCTCGTCATCGCTGTGAACAACCTGGACTCTCAGAGGAGTCTTTTCTAAACACCTGACTTTCCTGAGGCACAAAGAAAGATAAAAGCTCTGACATAGTTAAACTCAAAGCTGCAGTTAGTAAACAGCTGCTTTTAAATTATTAAGGTTCGACTTAAAGCTCCTCAAAGATCCTGTTTTGGGTGATGATGCTGGGTTTGACTGGAAACCTCAGTCCGCTGGTCTGTGCGACCTCAGGGGTCTTGATACAGTCTGTAGCCTTCATTATGCCTTTAGAGACGGCGTCCAACTCAGAGCGATGAGGCAGATTGGCTGAAACCTGAACGCGTAAGACTGATGCAAGTTCATTTAAAGGCTCTGATTACTGGCAAAGAATCTATTCCTCTGAAATAAACCAATGAGCTGTTTAGCAGCACAATGTTTCCTTAAGGGCAATGAAGACTTGGTTCAGCTACAGTGCCATCTACTGTTACAGTATCGTCCTAAAAACATAAAGAGGGTATTTTGTTGCAGCGGCATAAGGTCACACTGAAAAGAAAAAGTGTAAAAATTCAGAATCATAAACAGGTTTCAGATATTACAGGCTAACAATGAAACCAAACAACCCATTCATCGGTTTCCATTTGCATGTTTCCAAGCGATACAAGGCTTTGTCAATATAAAGACTCAAACTCACTGCGGATCCAGACATTTGAATTGAGAAAGCTTTCTGGAGAGGTACTGAAACATCTTCAAATCTTGGAAACCAAGGCCGGTGGATTTATTTTATTTTTTGAACCTTTACGAACCTTTACGGAAGAACAGGTACAGTATTTGTGTTACATGAAGTGTTTGGGATTCCTTGTATCCAGTACTTCTAAACTAAATTGTCCAATATCTGCAATCACAGCGTCCTTTCTTGTATGGACAGTTATTAATATCCACCTAGCATCTGTGAGAGACCAAGTCTCCATAACAACATCATCGACACAACAACCATTGCAAAAACAAACATAGGAGCTTTGGGCCTCTCCAATAAGCCTCCAATGATAACCTCAGGCTGGTCTGCTGTGAAACAACAGATGGAAGAGCATCTCATGTCCACTGTTCAGCAAGTGTCCTGAGTGGGTAGCATCCATAATTTACTCGAAACGAAGTCATTTAGAATGTTTTTAGAGCATAAACAGTAGTGTATAGGATTTCCTAAAAGCGCACGCCTGCGCGTTCACGACACTACGGAAACTGCGGCAGACCAAACCAGATGAAAGTGCGCATTCAGCGTCTGCTCTGCCGATAATGCAAGCGTAGAAGAAGAAATGTGCTGTTTACCTGTGCAAAGAAAGAAACAACGAAATAAAAATGTCTGAGGACTTCAGTGTTGAGGAAGAGCATGAGTTCTTTGCCGAGCTGAATGCGCACTTTCATTTGGTTTGGTCTGCTGCGGTTTCCGTAGCGTCGTGAACTCGCAGGCGCACGCTTTCAGGAAATCCTATACACTACTGTTTATGCTCTAAAAACATTCTAAATGAGTTCGTTTCGAGTAAATTATGGACGCTACCCACTCAGGACACTTGGAATACATTGGACGAGCAGTATGGAGGAATATTGACACGTTTTTTGTGGACTTTTATGGACCTTTCTGCCTCGGGCGCCATAGACCTCCATTATTTGAATGTCAGCAGACAGCAAGAAGCCTCCCAGATCTCCAGATGCATTTGAGATATCAAAAAAGTACTCCAGAGTGTTGTTCAGCATGGGGGTGAGTAGAAAATGAAGGCTAATCATGTTTTGGGTGTACTATTCCTTTAAGGTGGCGGTTTACTTAGGAAAGATCAGCTCCTCTAAGGCTAAGGTCATGGTTTCTGACTGCAAAAAAGGTGGTTGTCCTCTTTAAGTAGGAGCAAAATTGCCTGCCTTAAGTAGGAGCTTAAGTATCTTGTTTTTTTTTCCAGGAGTGGGGATATAATGAAGCAAGAGATCGTCAGACTGATAGGTAGGTAGTAGGGGTGGAACGGTTCACAAAATCCACGGTTCGGTTCGGTTCACGGTTTCGTGGTCACGGTTTTCGGTTCGGTTCGGTATATGTTGATTGTTAGGAAAATCTCAAAGCTGACATGTTGGTCATGTTGCTGTTAGCATAAACTAAACGTGTTGCACAATGCTTGCACACTGTTGCACTTTTATCCACAACTTTCTTTCGGCCGTCATCGTAGGTCACTCTAAATGCAAAGTGGTCCCATACAGCAGACCTATATAGTGCAACTCCTGTTCTTTCCCACTCGCCATACCCACACAATTCTCCACAACAACTGATTTTTTTCTGCTACACCCGGCTACGCTGCTTCGCTTCTTCTTTTTCTTGTTTACTACTGGTGGTTGGCTTTGGTCGCAGTATCGCCACCTTCTGCTCTGGAGTGTACACGCTTCACCTATGAGAAAAAGGAGCAGCGCATGAACCGAACGCAACACACGCGAACCGAACCGAACGGTTCGGACGGTTTTCATAAACCGTTCCATCCCTAGTAGGTAATGGTCTCTTTGTACATGTCAGTCTACTTTCTACCCTCATCTATTGTCATGAAATCTGGATGATGACTAAACAATGAGATCCTGGATCCAAGGGGCTGAAATGAGTTTCTGTTCAGGTTGGCCAGCACTCCCTTAGAAAGGGCGAGGAGGTTGATCATCCAATAGGAGTCCCAGAGGAGCTGGAGGAGGTGTCTGAGAGGAGAAAGGTCTGAGTGTCTCTGCTGGTTCCAGGTTAGCAAAGGAATGATTGTTAAATGTCATCCCCCCCAAGGATCTGTTTCCTGTCAGTTTGGCAAACAGCTCACTTATGACTAAATATGTGTTAAAACTGAACCTGAAGAGACAAAGCTGGCAAAATAAAAACTTCTAGAACAAACTTTTCCCTCCAACCGGACACTTCTGGCTCTCTCCTGCAAGGGACATATGGAGCAGCCTGAGGGTAAGTGAGGGGACTGAGTGGGGTCCTTCTGCCAAAGAGTAGAAGTGGGCCACAGTGGGAGTGAAACGTCCCCCTGCTCTGTGAAAAACTTCCAGCTCAGCAGAAGCTCTTCCACTGGGTGAAGTGATGCAAGAAGACAGACAAACGGCTTCTGTCTGATTTGTCTTTCAGTTCAACAACCAATCAGCAGCGCAGAAACATCTCACCTGTGATTCACAACAAATCTTAACTTCTTTCTGCAGCAGTTTTTGTTGCAGGAGTTAAATGGATGTAATTGCCTGTTCAGAATAATTAGTCCAGAGCCTCGTTTAGCTTCTCTGACCTTATTACTGTTCTTTTTGCTGCAGCTTAGAGTCACGTGAGGCAGAAGAAGAAACTGCTACGCACTGAGGTTCTCTGAGGCAGCTCACTAGAACAAGGATGTGTATATCAGCATCACATTCACAGAGTTCTTCAATGGAACCTTTATCTGCATGATGGGAAAAGGACCAGGGGAAACAGACCATTAGGGTACATGGACAAGGGGACAAGGACCAGGGGACACGGATCAAGGGAGAAAGACCACCAGGGGACACTAAACAGGGGACAAGGATCAGGGATAAAGGACCAGGGAACAATATCATGTGACACTTTAGAGGTCAATAAAGTTTTTTTGAATTTCAATTGAAAACGAGACCGTGCCAAGAACACTGCAGCACCTGTAAAGCACGAGTGGGGCAGCATTATGCTGAGGGGCTGTTTCCCCCGTGAACTGGATAATGGAGACAGAGTAAAGTATTTTACATTTCACTGCCTGGTCACCCTGATGAGACTGTGGTCAATCCATCAATCTGCTCTCCAAAAACATACACTTGACCTTTGAACTCTTAGAAAGAAAGCATTAGTGGACTGAACACTGATTCGGTTGCGCCCACCCTTCTCAGTGACCTTTAACATCCAGGGCTGTGTCAGGGTGGGCCCATCAATCCCAGAGAAACTCCAGTTAACAGACGTTTTACCTTACAAACACACAGAAGGTGTGTTTTATGGCTAACTAGCAGAACTGTGAAGGAGGTAGTTCAGCCGTTTGGTTCTGGTGCATTGTGGTTTGGGGTTTTATTCCCCTGTTGGTGTTCAGGAGACTCCCTGAATCCCGCTTTTATACCAACACTGGGGCTAATATAGTGACCAAGACAGAAACACAACAGCAGCTGCTTTGAAAATGAAAGCTGTTTTTTTAAAACAACACAATAAAAATTATAGTTTACCGACAATTAGTATATCTATACCTCCTGTAGAACCAAATACCAGTTTCAGTCCGTGAGGCAGACACCCTGTCTACTTTTAAGAATAGGCTTAAAACTTTCCTTTTT